AAAAAAAAAATTAATTGAAAATCTTCGTTTCCATCAATATTTTTTGGTGGTCTTTGATTTTCTTGGGTAAGCTGTAGATAAGAAAATTTAGGAAATCATATACGTGCCTTAATAACCGATGCAGATTGTGCTTTTTCTCCTTCATGTTTGTGTATCACTGTCACCATGGTTTTTAGCCATGATTGACAGAGTAAACCGTTATCCAGTGTGATAGAGGAGTGCCTTTTGATTTACTGATTGTCACATTTGAATCAGAAAATCGTAGTGAAATTAAATCAATATTTAAGCGCCTGTCAGTGAGCAACTCCTGAAATATCGTGGCGGCAAAATACTCTTCGATCGCGCTAATATTGCAGCTAACTTGCACGGCTTAAGAGAATATAAAATTCTGCCCCAGACTTCCTCCCACTTTCTTAAGAATGCTTTGCATTCTACGTGCCATATAGTTCCAAAGGCTTGCAACTTCTTCAAGTGCATGTTATACGACTGGACGCACTTAGAGATGCCTTCCTTGAGGATGGCAGATTCATTACAGGGCTGGGTTCTACGTAATGGGATCTTGTCGTCGTCAATTTCATATCCGCTTTGGCTACAACGTAATTTACTGAGGCATCTCGACTCCCTTCAAAACTAAGTACTACCAACCAGTTAACCCTTTGATCCCTAAGAATGACCAGCATCTAATTTCTCCTTACAATATCACCTCTGAATAAAACATTAAGGTCACGAGAATCAAGGAAATGATCACCAACTCATAAATCTCTTGATTTTTAAACAAATTCTCCTTGTCAGCGCTTCAAGAAATGTATAGAGAACAATATGGAGAATATGCATACTGATGTTAGGGTATAAAGGGTTAACCGCTACGATGTGACTTCGTAGGTTTGCTAAGTCCTCGCCGACTTTGTAACCCTAGATCTTCGTTGCTTGTGTCTTTTGCTAGATTTTCGTGGACTTTGTGTCTTTTGCTAGATCTTTGTTGACCTTGTGCGTTTGCTAGATTTTCCTTCATTGCATCTTTTGCTAGATCTTTTCGTTAACTATGGGTCTTTTGCTAAATATTTGTTGACTATGTGCGTTTGCTAGATTTTCGTTAATTAGTCAGCTAGAGTTATGTAAGATCTTACTATTTTCCCTAAGGCAGTCAAGAATCCCTGTGCTTTCTTGCTGAAAAGGACATAAGGTGGCACGTCTTTTCTTCGGTTTCTCTTTTCTTGAAAAAATTCGTCATCGTGGACTTTATGGACTGCAAGAGAAGAATCATTTACTCCATGGCAAATAATGCAGAGGCATCGTGAGATCAATAACCAGGACTGATACTGGAACAAAAGGAATGCGTGTTCAGCTTTTTTATTTTTTTCCGTGCTAATTCTCCATCTATAACTTAATGAATTCCATTTCTTTTTAAAATTTCACTTGAAAAAAATTCCCATATCACTGACGCTTATCAGGCCCCATGCAATCCCTTTCTCTCAAAACCAACCAACAGACCGAAAAATTGGTTTTGCTGCAATTTATCCCGGTTTCTAGAATACAACGTGAGTCAGAGTACATTGTATATAAATCGATCAGTCACCTCACCGGCAATTTCCCAACATTGCGATAAGCTGCCAAAACATTTGACACATTGTGCACTCAGATAAGTATGTGGGGGTTAAAGAGCGGGACAGAAAGAATCTCCTACCCAAGCTACGAACCCTCTATAAGAGAATTAATATAGTATTTTACGGGACCTACCTTAGTTTTGAAACACACTTCGTATTTTTTATCCTCGCTCGTTGTTTTTGTTGTTTCTGGGCTGGTCGTCTGTTCACCTGACCTGACTTGCTTGGGTTTGGCACCAGGGTCTGTACATATTCGTCTCAAGTCCTACGCAGCAAAGTAAAAAAAGTTACGTTAGGGATGAATAAGGTCATGTCTTTAAGGCTGCCAAACATAAAGAACTGCTTGACAACAGGGGTGGAGCCGTGAATTTTTGATTTGCGGATCCGACTTTGTATTCAGTAGACACATTAATTTTCTTTTTCCCATGATAGGCCTTATAAGCAAACAGTATTTAAAGCTGATTATGATATACGATCATGTCGTTGGAAGAACTTTGGTTTCAGTCAAGTAATATGAATACCCAGAGGTCAGGTGGGTGTGAGGGGGGCGATGAAGATCAGAAAAAAGAAAGGAACGAACAGAACGCAAGTGTCTTCTAGTCAAACAAAGAGAGGATGGAGAGCAACATGAAAACAAACGTTGTCTTTCAAGAGGTTCATTTAAACCTCCCTTTTTCGAAGCGCAATTTATTTACTCCATTCATTAGATGAATTTTACCTTTTTATAGTGACAAGTCTTTCCAGTCGCTCCATAAGGGTCAGAGTGTGTACATTCAGGACGACTTTCAGGCTGCAGTTCATAGAGACATAAAAAACAAATTTTATATAAGACGTGACAAGATATTTCTTGTCCGTTGTGTTTGAGTTATCAGTTTGTTAGCAACTTTCCAATGTTGGACATTTTCGACGAAAGCCCCTTAATCTATTATTTGGTCTCTTCGAAAACGAAAACGAAGCCACTAGATTATTAGAATGATATATCATTCGATTTTGTTATCTATGTCAATCAAGTCCTTTCGTCTACTTGAGACCATTTGGGATTTCTTATCTTCCGAAAATGCCTCAAGATATAGCAATTGCCGGCGAAATCTGTATTTTTCAAAGAATAACAGCCATTATTACCGCTGAGAATAGACCTCTCCACAGTTTTTCCAGCCTATCAACCTGTCTCTGTCGATTGGTCTGAAGTTGTTGGAGTTTACCAAAATCCTTTTTTTCTTCGGCGGTCATTATTTCTTGTTCCGTTGCCAAATCCTCAACTCGTTGCATCACATCGTTGTGTTCTGCTCTGAGACCGTGATATGTAAAGTCGTAAAACTCTCGTCTCACCTCCTCACTGCATTTACAACACTCAGCCCCCATGGAGAGGACTGAGGTGTATAACTCCTGTAGACTTACACTGAGTCTCGTTAAAAGGTCGAGCGTGACGGAAACTTTCAGTTTGCCTTCCTTTATTTCTGGCACTTGCAATAGAGATGTTACATTTTTGCGAAGGAGCTCATTAAGTTCTTTCAGCTTATCGTCGATTTCACCCTCTGTATCTCCTCGATTTGGTGAGAGAGAATTTCTGGTATCTTCTGAATCATCCTCCCGGACCGAATTATCGAGGTTCTCGGCCAAATCCTGCAAAAGTATATACAACTTTCATTGTCATCAGAAGAAAAAGGAAGACAATTGAGTTATAATTAATACATAGAAGGTTTAATGTCTGTAAAAACTATATAATTATTGGTTTGTGCAAAAACTCTTAACAAGACGCGCCGCTCTACACAGCTGACAATATGTTGTCCCTATTACCAGGAGCCCATTAAGTAATGAGTAATGGCACTTGTCCAGTTGTGCAAGTGATTTGGGAATAAGAAAAAATGCGCACCATTCTTTTAAATCGGCTCAGGAAATTTCTTAAAAAGTAAGGCCATACCCAAACGGAAAAATTGCAAAAAAATCATTACGATTTTTCATTCTTGTGAAATATTTAATCGCTACTTTTTTGCATTTTCGCTTGGGAAATATGAGCTATTTCTATGGCATTCAACATAGATTAAGTAACATGTGCTTACCAGTTCTGACATGTCTTCTCTTATTCCAGCCAACTCTTTTTCCAGTTTCAAACTTCTGGTCTTCCACTCTTGACCCTGTGTCACATATTAGGTGAAATCAAAAGATAAATTTCAGAAATGTTTTTTGGTTGATAATTATTTTTTTGAAGCATTGAGCAATTGTTACAGAAAATCATGGAAATTCATCCCAATTATAGTGGAATGAGCTGCAAAGTATGTCTGATATCTTAAGAAGCAAAAATAAGAACGGAGCAGAAAATGTGGTCCGCAACCTCTTGGGAGGTTTCGTGAAGCTGTTGTTTGCCTCTAGACAGTCCCTCTTCCAGTTCTTGAATTCTTATGCGTAATTTCTGGTTCTGTTTATGAAAAAACATAAAGGAAAATAAACTTTTTGGTTTTGTGTCTATCAACGGGAAATTATCAGATAAAGTATTCGTTGTTTGACGAGAAATGGCTCGTTATCATGCTGGTTGGAAACGTAAAGAAAGTCAAATATCCAACAAGCTGCCCATTAGAAATTAAAATTATTTACCAACCTCTTCTTGAAGCTGTTTTGTCATACTCTTCTTTTCTTCTTCGAGCTCCTGCTTTCTCACTTGGTGGTGCTGTTCATTGATGAACGTAAGTCCGTTTTAATTTCGTACTACGTAATTCTGTTAAAAATTAGAAGAACTAAACTTTCAAATAATTCCTCACCTCTTTTTTTAAATGCTCGCAGTTTTTCTCTATTTTATCTTTTGTACTCTCCATCTAAAATAGGACGACAATTCAAACTTTAAAATTTTGCAGGCCAATGACTCTTCCATGGGCTAAACTCTGGCTTCGCCGATAACTCCTTTATGGGCTAAACTCTTGCTTAGTTAAACTTTTTAACGGAAAGAACGTCTTAGATCTTATAGAGAACGAAACTTTAGCCACTTATACAGCAAAGATTCTTAGGAAGGCTTCAGGCATCATCCTATTACACTTCAAGTTGCTAAAAGTACGAGAATTTACTTGATTTGAGTCGTTTCTGCCTAATTCGTCGTCCTCTTCTGATGACAAGAGACCTGGAAATTAAAGTTGTGTTAAAAAAATAGTAAAGGCACTGTTTAATAGTTCCACTTTTCATAATTAAAACGAAAGAAATAGTTCTTTCTTTCGAAAGACTCAAAATGGGTCAAGAATATCATATAGAAATAAAAGTTATTAACATGAGAGAAAATCTTCCCGTAAAAATAAAGTTGTATTGGGAAAATCTTACAGGTAAAGGGTTGTACTTTAACTTTAAAAAATTAAATATTTAGTTAATCCTTAATCGCGTGTCAACCAACGCTTTGACGAATACGAAGCGACATTACATACACGGAAGTTTTTCAGCTACGCCCCTAAGCCCTATCTCTATTAAAGCTTCAGCAAACTTTTCGACAGTAGCATCCTCTCCCTTCTGATTAATCCACTTTACGATGACCGCAATGCAGCATTCGTTAGTAGAAGCGCCCTTGTCACTCTCGATCAAGCCAATGACAGCCTCTGTGAACTTAAGTTGTCGTGCCAGGTCTCTCCACTTGTTCCCAATCAGCTCGTGTAGTAGGTGACCATTCATAATGTCCTTTGTCATCCGACGTTTCCAGCTGCACTTGTCGCTAGAACAACCTGATAAAAGTACCATAGCTCATAGTTAAAAAGAGTGCATGCTACAAAGCGTTAACAGGTTTTATTCAGTAAATTCGTTGCAGAGAAAATGTACGGAAACGATAAAATTTTCCTTGCGTAAATGATAATCAGACACAAAGATGTTCGTGATGTTCAACAGTCTGCTGCTAATGCACCAGTAGTTTATTCTTGTATCATCGGTGTTCGTGCATAAAGTCATACGAAGGAGGTAAAATAACTTAGAGTTACAAAGAGTGCATGCGAAGACTCATTACGCAGCAAAATGGTTATGGTGAAAAAGTGCAGAAGCGATAATGATAGACAGACACAGAGATATTCTCGATGATCGACAAGCTGTTGCTCATACGTCAGTAATTTATCTTTGCATTATTGACCGATAAAGTTTCCTAAGCACAAGAAAGGTTTTGTTTCCGTCATCTTGGTAGACTAAGACCGAATCCTTATAGACATCCGATTGGCTAGTTTTACTGATTAGGAGAAATAAATAGAATAGGAAATAAATTTATGCGCGGGCGTGTTGGCCGACGAGCCGAGCCCCCGAGCACTTTTCTTGTCCAAAAGATATGAGGTTATGAGCTATCTCATAATTAATTTGGTGGTCATCCAAACGGGCAAATAAGACGCCAGACATCATTATGACGTAGGAGAAGCGTTAACATTAGCATTTAGCATTCTTATCCCAGAGTAACCTTGGAATAGATAAAACTCCTCCTCTGTTTATTCTCTGGCAGGCTTGAATAATGATGATACTGCTGGATCTACCTATTGAGCTACGATTGTCATCAAAGAAATTAATATGGAAGCTATACGCTATTATCTTAACAGCGAGCTGGAAGCAGCAGGAATGTTAAGACTTCTTGGGCAACAAATCACGTAGAAAGCTAAAAAAAACAATTAGCCTTGCACATTGAAAATTAATGATGTAAAAAAAACCCCGCCAATTTTGTTGCCTGCGGATTACATCTTAAGCCATAAGTTTTCCCCTCGGTGCATTCCGGAAAACTTAGCCGCAATTAATTGGATCATCCTCTACCTTAATTCTAAATTTGCGACATTAGTTATCTTAGAGCACCAGCATGCATATAGGCAGAAACTTACCTTCTTCTATTTCGACTTCGTTATTATCCATACGATAAGAATCTTCACTCTCTGTGTCAGATTTTTCTGTATCTCCAAAATAACCCTCCTCACCTAATTGGGCTTTCACCACTTGTGTTACCCCTGAGAAATGACACGGTCGGCATAAACATTCATGTTAAACAAAGAATCAGTGTATCATGGTACAATTCAGTCATGACCAAGATTTCGTATCACAGAACTAAAGTATACAGTTCTCTAGTTATATTGCAATCTTTATAGCTCCCAGTAATGACAAAAGTTGAAATAATCCACATGTACATACTTACTACTACAGCATTCTCGTAAATTTAGTACACGCTAGTAAAAATAATGACCCTTTATTTCAAAATGTTAAGTGCCTTCTGAGAAGACACTTTCAATGGCGATTGACTTTATATGAATAACTCTCAGTTCAACATGCCCGATAAAAGAAGGCTGGTGGGGGATGTCGAGTTAATTGAAGTTTTTACCATCATCTCAATCATTTGTTGATTAGTTACTAATTCAAGTCATAAAAAGATACACAGGAAAGAGAAAGCATAACTTCAGTTACGAAAATATTTCCTTCCACATACAAATAAATCGGCTTGATAATAATTGTTTTTCTAGGACTGCTAACGCATCATTTTGCCGATTCAGAGCATCGCGAAAGGAGCCCCCTGTAAAGAAATTAACCCAGACATGATTACCAAGCACATCCGTAAATAAGAAATAATAAGAAAAAAAAGCTTGAGTGTTATCCTAACCATCCCAAGTTTATTTGAGTCTACGAACCTCTCTATCTAATTATCCCTTGAAATAAAATTTTTGAGGCGACAATTCTTTCAAACAAGGTGAAAATTTTACCTGAATCATGGCAATTTTCCTCTGCAAATTTTTTGCTTTCATAACATGAGGCAGCCACACTCCTGAGACGCTTTACACACTCCTCAACCCCATCAAGAGCTCGTTTAAAGTGCGTAATCTGCCAGGTCATTGGATTTTCACACTTTTTGTAAGTGGAAGTCGTCTTTGCCACACACTCACCGTTCAGTGTAGCGAATGTAACAGTAACAGGTCCTGGCGCGTCACCACCTATTTAATACAAATTATTGATACAAAGATTCAGAGGATCGCGGAAGGAGCCCCCCTATAAATAAATTAACCCAGTGATGATTTCCAAGCACTTCCGTAAATATAAAAACAATTAGGGAAAAAGCTTGAGCGTTATCCTGACCATCCCAAGTTTATCTGAGTCTACGAACCTCTCTATCTAATTATTTCCTGCAATAAAATTTTTGAGACGGTTATTTGTTCAAACAGTGTAAAAAATTTTACCTGACTCATGGAAATTTTCCTTGGCCAATTCTTCACTTTCGTCACATGAGTCAGGCTCGCTCCTGAGACGCTTTACACACTCCTCAATCTCATCAAGAGCTCGTTTAATCTGTAGGGTTGTTGAATTTTTACGCTCCTGGTAAGTGTAGGTCGACTTTGCCACACACTCACCGTTCAGACTACTGAATATCACGGTAACAGGTCCTGGCACGTCACCACCTATTTAATAAAAATTATTCATACAATGTAACATAGACTTTTGACGATTTGTTTTGAAGTAAGTGTTTCCATACACCTGAACATATAAGCTGAAGAAACTCTACCAGATTTGGTGGGGGAAGAAGGTTAAGAAGAAGGATAACAAACATTGCATACGTCGGCGAGGAATTAAACCCTCTGGCACCACCACTGAGTAAAATGAAGGCTGAGAGCAGTGCAAGATCATTTTTTAGCAAAATCAAAGAAAAACAGCGGACACTTACGAGGAATTTCCTCTCCAAACAGAGAAAGACCATCTCTCGATACCCATACTTTCACGGACTTATCGCCAAATGTTGCCCAACCTGTTTCCATTGAACGAGGGAGTTCTTCATCTATAACTGCACGAAATAATCCTCCGCCCTAAATGAAAAGGAAGGGGAAAAATATCCAAAATTCACGCCTTTTGCATGTTTGTTTGTTAGCTGGAGTTCACTAATATCATGAGCAGATGTTGGTGTGTTTGTTTGCTAATTAAATTGCGGAAATGTGATCATTCTTGTTGCCGGAGTTGTAAGGGTTTTCCCGCAAGAATTTGCCACGAGATTTTTAACTTTCTTTAGCGAATAAATAAGTGTTTGCGCTCTTTCTCACTAACTTAATTTCAACTTTCTGTCCTGCTTGAGATAAATTGACCTGTTCTCAACCAACGAGAACGCTAAATCTTTGCAAGCATATCATTACCATGAAAACAAAGAGAAACTCCTTCCCAAATGATATATTATTCAATAATATCTCTAGTTTTCGCTCCTGTAACTTTGATTAACAAATCAGAAGAGCAAAACACGAATCTACCTGCAAAGGCCCCTCTGCGGGTTTCATTCTCGCATCTTGTATTCGTAGAGATATGGGTCGGTTGAGAGCTTGGGCAGGACATGCGCTCGCTGTATGAACAATAGTGCAAAATTGAGCAATTTAAATCTAAGACGAAGTTCCAGACACAAAGAAAGTAAAAATAAAATCACATCATCTAGTTACATATTAGTAAGAACATAACGAATATAGTTGTTATGTGTTTTACCATTTCGAAATGCAGCTTTATAACATGATTGGGTACGAGATAGGATGTTGTTCACTTTACCTAGTGATCATATTTGTATGGTTGCCATTTATCCACATCAGCGGAGATATAAAGAAAAGAAAGTTTTCCCCAGGAGTACAACAGAATGCCCAGGCCATCGCTCGAATCCAGACCTCTTCATCCGTATTCGAGCACGCTATTTACTGGCCTACGTCAATCCAGATCTACATCGTGTAATTTACACCTCCATAATTAGAGTAATACCGGTGATAATTAAATTTGTGGCTAACACTGAACCACACGATAAGTGTTTTCCAAACCAATGCCTTTCATGAGTTTTTTTTCTTTAAATTAGCTGTCGATAAAGAGAGTCTACTTCTTGGGATTTCGACGTCCTGTTTCAGCTTAGCGTTTCAGGGAAAAGTTTATACAGCTAACTTCGTTAAGTTTTTTGTCTCATTTTTTCCCGTAACTTTGTTACAAAAATCAGGCTTACCCAGTCTCGTCTTAGATACTATTTTCTCGGCCAACCTCACCTTCAGACGGGATACCACTGTCAGATTTTCCGGAAGAATCACTTTTGTCGCTTATCAAACAATCTTCCTCCATCAACTACAGTACATTGGAGAAAAACGCATACATATTTACTTTAAGAAATTAATATCCAACTGTGTCGGCATACACCATAAACGTCGGAGATCTTAAAATCAATTCAAAACCAAATGTTCGAAATCGGAAAATAACAAGCATATACTAAATAAGTTGGCTGAGCTCTAACCTTGACTGTTACAGACGATACATACCCTAAAAACAAAACCTAGTTGATCGACCAAAGTTCAACCATAAAAGGGTCCAGTCAAAGAAATAACAGGTATTTAACAAAAGATTTTACTAGTTTTCTGATTGCCTCTCAAGGTGCACTGATACAACTAATAAAGGTTAACGTACCCTGATTGGCTTTGTCACTCGATCCTCTTGCGTTGTTTCTTGGGCACTGAATATTCCATTCTGAGAAACGGTTTCTATATCAAATAATCGAAATCATTATCACTCGGTTTATTGAAATGTCTAAGATGTCAATCCAAAATTACCCAAAGTAGATTTTAAACATGAAAATTACCAACTAAAATAAATCTATGCAAACCAAAGGAGTTTTGACGTGTATATCACACTTTCAATTTATGTTAAAAAGTGGATAAACAAGCTTTCCTGGCCCACCTCCTGAGGAACTTAAAGCACTGTCATCGCTTTGAAGGGCATCAGTGGCGGTTGAGGGAATCTGATTTTGTAGTTGGTAAAAAAGAAAAAGAACAATCGATTTAAAAGGTGCCTCATTTGTGCCAGAGATGCTGGATGTTCATTTCATTTACAATGAAGTCGATTCAAAGAGTGCATAGGACAGTTTTGAAAGATATGAGTGACGTTTTGTCCCAATTAAGAAAGTAATTATGCTCATTAGCCTATCTAGATTGTATTTATCTCAATTAATCTAGATAATGCACATATCTTTTCGCATTCACATCATTCCATTGAATCACACCATTACACCAAATAGTATGTTAAAAGATGCCTTGTTTAATTGAAAATGTTACCTCATTTTGTTCTTGATTTCTATTGGTCAACATTGAGGTCCCTGATTTCGTTTCAACTGTTAAAGCGGCCTCGAGACTCTCCAAATGGATGTCTTGAAATGAATTGAAATGCCGTACGTTTATGATTACTGTGTCAATAGTCTAATTTTGGTAGACTAACGGATGCTCTTAAATTCTTCGGCTAAATTTCAATAGCTCGAGTTTCTTGTTTCCACGACGTGGATAATGTCCTTTTACTACTTCACTCTACTCTCCGGCGACTAAAGTTTCTAACAGAAAATCTGAACTAACCAACATCGCACCAAGAGTTATGACATGACATATGAAAATCAGAATTACCTGGCGAGTTGGGAGCGTTTAGGTTATCACCCTACGTATTAAACAGAGAAAAAATAATAGAATTAAGTGCTTGAATTAACAGCATTGAAAAACAAGAATGGCGTTTCCTTAAATTATGCTATACACTAACCACTGAAAAGAAAAGTCAGACTTGGGCGTTGATAGTTATTATCGCGATTTCTGCAAATATTTGAAAATTTTGATTGAAGTAACATGGTAATTTTTGTAACAAAAACCTGGAGCCAGGTTAATTGCTGTCTATTTCTGATTCAAGATCGACCACTGGTTTTTACTCTGTTGAAATCGTTCTCGGTTCTGTGGTCTTGCTTACGAATAGAATGAGCAGTGGTCTACTTTTACTCAATTCAGAATTTCTTTTTTTAATTAAAAAATATCCGCTAAAATTTACTCAGGACCCCCCTTTTCCAACCAAGAGTAGTATGCAGTGAAGGTGTCTCCTGAAGAAGGACTGCTGCATTATATTTGAACTGGGTTAGGAGAGAGTAACGGGATTGCTGGATGATTATCTTTGATAGATTATCTTTCACCATTTTCCATTGTATTCTTTCTCTCATTGAATGAAATTCCTAGTATAAAAACAAACTTGAACATGATAACAGAATTCACTTACAAGCCACCCAGGATTATTTGTATTCATATCGCGTTCCCATTGCGTCGTTTCTACAGCGTTTTCTAAAGAATTATAAGAGAGTTAACACAATTACAACAAAAGGAGAAGCAAACTTAAAAAATATTAAACGTTTGAACGTGTCCTCTAGTAGCATGTCGTAATGATGTGGGATATTGATCAAATGAAGCCTTTAAGTGCTACTGTGGTTCTTTCTTTATTCACTCCGAGCTTTCGCCGTTCTACGGCATCATCAGGGAGGACGATAAAATATTTGCGCTATGGTTTTAAACGTTGGAGGTGCCACTGTAAATTAGCATAGTGTAAAACTAGCCAGTACTGAACTCCCGTGAGGAATGCACTGAACTTAACGATCTTCTATTTTAATGATCTATTTTAATGAGCTATTTTAATTAACGGTTTTAACACATATTTTAGAACATTTTATCACGCCATTAGTTTTCATGCGTCCTACTGGCTAGTTTTACACTATCAGATGACAGATGACGTTTGAACCAATTGTTTTATAACATTTTCAACCCGAAGGAAAATTTTTTTTCTCGAGGGATTTGTTTGCTGACGTCATGAGCATGCACAATAAGAATATGATGCATGCTCGCGCAATTGAATTTGATTAGACAAAGTTACTAGCTATGTTATAATCGTTTTTTACTTTCACATAATCTTACCTCAGGATCAGAGAAATGCATGTCTTCGCAACTAAATTATCCTAAATACCATGACTGGCACAATAATTCCCAAAATCAACGCAATACAGTTAAGACGATCATTTAAAGTTGGTAAAACAGGGAGCTTTCAAGCTCCTGCTCCAGACTTCGGTACTTTGCAAATGCCTTGACACATCAGGATGGTTGAAATAAAACTTAATCAGTGATTTTGCTTGCACCTTGACCTATATGACATTCAGATGTTATTCAAATCGCTTCTTTCCTAACTGAAGGAAATTTAGTCAATTAGATTCTTACATACGCCGATCAACCAATTTTCAATCCATTATTCCGTTATCTTATGACACGTGTGGCGAAGAAATTTACAAAACATGATCATATGTTTTGTAATTTTTCACTTGAAATATTTGTATCAAATGAGAAGAAAATCAATGGACCCATACCTTTCATGATGTAAGAGAAAATACAAATTAAAAAATCAACTTGCCTGTTGAGTTAGTTGTTTTCAAAGATGTGACTGTTGTAGCGGATTGAGGTGTTTGTGTCCATGACACCTTAAATAAACAGAAATTTCTTTAATCAAAGTAATGACTTAAAACCCTGCAGCTTAGTGGAGTTATGAATCTTGTGATTCAAGTTCTGATTCCAAAACACCAGTAAAAAGCACCAGTGGGACCGTATAAATGGCGTCTCTGCCCTAAATAGGGATACTGTAATTTTGCTTATTTACAAGGAAAATTCATTGTTGAACACATGTGAGAAAATAAATGGTAGGTTCACTGCGTGCGTTATCATTTAAAAGATCACTTACAGTCTGGCCATTTTTAGAGTTGTGGTAGAAGCTGGTGGACGACAAATGACCTGATATGAAAATGAATTTATGCTTTACATGCAAGTTTCAGGTTTGAAAGGAAGAGTTTGGTAACAACCAGAGAAGACAAAAATTGAAGAAAAAGTCGTCCTTGTGTACCTTGTAAAGATGAAGGAGTTCCTCTTGCAGGTGACACCGAGTTGAAGACCGGCTGATTTTTAAATATGGAAATATTGTTGAAAAAATTATTTCATTTTTTATTCGAAACCATTTCATTTTGGCGTTAATAAATGCATCTTTATGAGCATTCAGGAATGTAATCTAACTTTTCATAGAGTTTTGGAAATTGCCAGTAGTTGAAAAAATGACATTTTATCATTGGTCTTTGCGAGCAATATTGTCACACCAATCACCAATGTTTCTGTTGAAAATTTATTCTTTATCATTCACTATCTGGAGACAACTTTTCAGTCTTGATTAAGAAAATCATATATGTTCCCACATTTTACGAATGGCTTAGCGCAGAGGGGCATACCAGAAAGTAACGAAAACGAAAAGATACTAAATCCGGAAGTATCGAGGGTACAATAAGCTTCAAAACTGAACGGTGTTATGATTGTTTTATATATCGTGTGTACCTCGTCCTCCAGGACTAAATACAAGGCCGACCCGCCTTGTACTTTTCTTTTAATCGTTCGTCCATCCCAAACACGGTGTTCACCATGAAAATTTAATCGAGCGCTAGTCTGTCCGTCTCGTGTTGCACACGAAAACCTAAATAATAATAAGAAAAAAAAGTTAAAGAGGTTTGGTTTGCATACACGCAAAAGTGATTCTTCAAATTTCTTTATAAATCAAAGTCATGTGAATCGTTCTGCGCTGGTTTACTAATGAGTATCATTACCATAGTACGTTATGAAGTACTTACCACACAGTCTGCATTTACCTTTTATTTGACAAGATAGGGGAGAACTTGTTTTCAAGCAAGTTTCTCACATCATCATCTTTCATGTCTTGGAAAAATTTCACGCGACTTTGGTACTGTTTTCCTTTCCTCAATTCTGCAATTTCTGATAGGGTCAATGTCTTTGATTCCTCTTTGCTAAGTAGATAGACATTTTTTTGGAATACTTCCATACCTAAATAAGAAGCATTGGACAAGATGACGTGCAAACTCTTCATTTCTTTTTTTTTTTCTTTTTTTTTTTTTTTTTTTTTTTTTTCATAAATTAGAATAGTGAAATGCACTTAGTCCAACTAATAATACTAGATACAACTCTCTATTTGGTCCTACTTCTAAAGGTATATCTCCCTTTAAAGATTTTATGAATTTGTCGTTCTCAACAGATGACAGCCTAGCTGTTTTCGCTGTTTTGTTCCGCCAACAATGAAATCTCTTCGGTTTTTATCCGTGGATGTGCAGAAAGTAGGAGCCAGTCATGCATAATCTTTACATTGCTATCATAATTGCCATAAAATAATGCTTTCTTTACAGCAGAAGTATAAACAATATAGCAAAATTAATATAGCTGTGGGAACATCAATTCTTTAGTTTCTTCATCTTGAATACTAATCCACCAGCTACCCAAAGTCTTTTTAGTTTCCAGAAGCCCAATTCTGTTCATTGGAATCACAGGGTCACTGGTTTTAAGTCACTGTTTATTCTAAATTCTCATCTGCATAGTTTATCCACGGGCGAGTTAATCATAGCGTCACTTTGATCTTTCTCGTTTCCCCATTCACTATATCTAATCGCTGATTTCAGCCAACTCTAAACTGGCAACAGATCAACTATCAACTATAAGCTAACAAAATGGTTTGACTACCATTTTTTTGATGAATGAATAGCTTGTAAAGAAGGAACAAGTGTGAAACAGCTCGGTTTTAGTTCATCTGCTTTTCCTCCAGGTGATTATTTCCAAGATACGCCTGTGAGAAAAGCCAATCAAACGAATCCACTAGGAGCAAAACTCTGCATATTCACTCCGGCTACCCAGAAATTCTTCGCGATACAACAGATGAAACGTAAAAACACTCGCAGATAATTTATGCGTAAACGAAATCCACACAGAAAACAATATGACAACAAGTTAAGCAGTAACGATGCATCATATGCGACGATGTTACTTTACACTCGTGTTCCTCATTCCAGGGTCATTTTACAATAAAATGGAATTAAAGACCACCAATTCTAGCCTTCTGATGAAGCGTTATTCCGATATCGCAAACCGTTTGAACTTTCAAAATTATGGTTCCATCATTAACAGACAAGGATTGGTTAATGCTGATTGATCCTTATGACATTACATACGCTTGTAGGGTTAATGTTGGACGTCAAAGACAATTAAAACATATATCTCCTTTAAAGTCATCTTCTTTAGACCGAAAACTAACCTTCAAACAGTGTTGAGGTCTTCTTAGTTCTATTTTATTTCATTAATTTTCTATGAAAAAAAAATAGGATTCCGCAGGTTGCGGAGGTTCCGCGGTCTACTGATTCATAGTTAGTAACACCCGACAGGAAGACACAAAATTTAATCAGATTGACAGTGACACAAATTCACTTGTTCTGAACCTCGCTAAGATGTTTTGTTATTGCCAGTGAAAAGGAATTACTACGTTTCCCCCTTTATTTTAGCTCTATTTCAGAAGTAAAACTCGATCAAGATTTTTCCGCTGCGACGTTGCTATGGTGCTATTTTCATATTTAGTTAATGCTGCCGCTATGTGTCACTAATGCTGCCGCTATGTACGAGGGTTCTCAAATTTCACTTATTTGATCTTATTTTGGTTCTTCACGGATTTTCGTACGGCTCGTAAAGTTTCCATTCTGTTTCATTCTACGCCTATGAATGTTATGTCTCAGATTTCCGAAAGCAAATTGTCGAGTACGATATCCCTGTTTCATTCTGACAGTTTGTCTTTGTAACATGAGTGTTTAACTGTAAGCGGAGATGTAAGATGCGTTCTACATAACAATCTAGCCACAAAAACAAGTCAATTTTTTCTCTCACCTGAGAAATGTACACCACTGGCAGTTACAGAGTAGTCGTAAAAGCGTACAGCGTCCTTAGCGACTCGATGAGTCATGAAACTGAAAGCGACGGGGTGATTTTGCATTGAATATACACTGAATGATCACTTGACCATCACAACTGAAGAAATTGACTTGCTAATGACATTTATATTCACTCAATCTTAACAGTTTTTTCAAACTGAGTGCGAATTGCGAAGTATCAGACATGAACGGATTCGGAATACAGCACTCTCTTTTCAGGTAGGAAGTTAAAAAGTAGTAATGACCAAATAATTTGAATACCAAAATAACACTGAATAGCCGTGTTTTTGGTCATTTTCGACCCTAAAATGCCTTCAGGGGCTAACAGGAAGTCGTAGTTGCAAAACGTCAGGAAAGAGTGACTAAGCCATATTTTTTCTCAGAGTAAAGGAGAAGATGTGGAAGGGTTGCAACAGTCAAGCATCGTTTTAACAAGGTGGACGGAGACTGCAATTGCACCTAACGGTGCTTTCGCCACTTTAACTTGAATATTTTTACAGAAGTAAACCTTCTATCGTGGTCTAGAAAGTTCAATCCTTTTCGTCGCATAAGTCAAATCTCGTCTTGTGCAATAAACTCAATTCTAGATATCGATCCGACTGTTGGAGACATGTTTCGCTCGTGTTTGGCAGAAATAAAGAATGCAGCCTACATGGAAGCCATGCCGCTAAAAACAAGCCAAATTTTCCCTTACCTGAGAAATAAAAAAAACAGGCCAAGTGCTTTGGCATACATAAGTGAATGATCACATGACAGTCGTACAGATTATTGACATTTTTGCAAGATGCTTTCAAATGCCTCATTGATGTTGTGTTGTATTTACGCAATAAGGAATCATCGATATATAAGAAAATGAACAAAAGCCTCCCTCAGCTCAAAAATGGCAAATACTGAAAATATAATAAATATAAATTAGCCTGATGTGACCGAGGCAGGCTCTTGTGTTTTTATGGGAACAAATAAAAGGGTGACTACAAAGAAACTGAAAATAATATAATCACAGTAGAGAATCTCTCATAATACATATTTATGACTGGTTCGCCATCGATTATCTTAGTTCTCAGCAAAGGCTTGACAAAAATAGCATTAAATAGTCATGTGACCATATCGTTAATCTAATATCGACAATTAATACTTTCGAAATCCACAGGAAGTCGTGCGTTTACTTTAGAATCCTTATTTTACCGCTTCTATCTTTTCTTATTCTTTCGTCTTTCTCTTTTCACGACCACTTCGAAATATAAACGCGATGCGAGAATTTGAGGACAAGATTGAATATCAAGCGTTTGAAAACTATAACATATCTGGGAAGGCCGCGTGCCATCCAGCATTCACTATCAGATAAGGCAGTGAACATTCACCGTCCACATCGGCAGCACGGCGACTCATTATTTTAAAAAATTGGAGCTTTGAGTATATGAACAGACAATTTATTACCAAAAGCTTAGATCCTCGGGCTTCCGACGATCCATTGCACGTCTGCAAAGTTTTCGTCTGAGTCAAGCTATTCATTGGAAATAACAATGTTATAAGCACATTCATTCGGTGTTGCTCGTTTATCTCGTGTTTATGTTTAGGTTTATTTCGTATGCACCTTAGACACTGGTTTTACGCGGAGTTTTATACGATTGTAAAACCAGATTAAAAAGCATTTCAAACCGAAACAGAAAACAGATACGAGGGTCTAATGTTATAATTAGACTGATGAGCAATTTCGATCGAAACGCCGGAGACAGGGGGTCGAATTGACTTACATTTGAAGTGATTATCCATCAAAATGCAACTTGACAGCGCTCCCCTAGACTCTTAGGAGAATACTTAAAAGAGTCATCCTCCGCTTAACTGAGAAATTTCTACTGACTGTTCTTATTATGAAGAATATAGCCAGTTCGGTCGGTAAAAAACCTGACTTGATCAATATTCAATGACTGAATGAAAAGCGTCGTTGTTTTCATTCTGTTTTTGACGAGAATTTAAAGCAGTATCCCGTACTGAAAGTCATCGACTGATTCAAATGAAGTTGAAGGTGCCTTCCCTTTTGATGCGAAATTCATTTTGTATTTAATCACAGGCGTCTCGAGAAAAAGCAAACGATTACTATATGAAAGTGTCTCGAGACGTGAGCTTAGGACACCTATGATTAAATAAAGTGATTGACGGCACTTAAATGGAGAACAATTAATTGACGCGTCGTTATACGGCAGACTGAAATTTATTCAAAGCTGTTTTCATTTCTCCTTGAGTGACCTTAAATCTTAGATTATGTGGATGGTCATGTGACAATACACTTTCAGAGCCTCCACGCCCATGGTTGGTAACACGACATAACAAGACAATAGGAAGCGCCGTAAACCAGTTTGACCATTGAATAAAGGGGGGTAAGTTTCTCAAGAAACTGTGGTGCTGCGTCGGTGGGAGAGTATAACAGGGTAATTTAGTATTATCTACTGAGTTGATAACGTGAATTGGTCACCGTAAAGAGTTTTAAGGTTTTAAACTCTTTATTTTTATTTTATTAGCTTCGCCAACTTAATATCAAATATACATAAACAAAACAAAAAATGTAAATGGTACAAACAGGCTGGGACTCCGCAACAGCTTATACGCCAATTACTGCGGGCCCGGAACACATAAAATTGAAATAAAAATTGCAATAAAATTAATAAGCAGTTAGTAGCAACAATCAAAATTTCTTGTCAGATTACGGGCTTTGTTGCAACTTATGCAGATAGACTTAAATGAGCGAGGATCTTCAGGGTTATATGATTTACAGAGAGATTGCTTATAGTAACTGATTAGGTGTGCCTTGAATGAACTGAAGGAGATAGTTACGGAAAGACCAATGTCATCAGCTAGAGCGTTCCATATTCTCACGGTGCGGATGAAAAAAGGGCCAGTTTAATCAGTCTGACTTTATAGGATTCCTCGCAGAGGAAAGGCAAGTTGTAGATGTATTTGTAGCCCGGCGCTTTACGATGACCAGTTTACGTTATCAACTTAGTTGATAACACTAAATTACCCACTTTTAACATTGCCGCATTTTTTCTACCTAGAATCCCAGGAGGTGAAAATTTTTCGTTTGCTGTAGTTTTGATCAAAAATATTGGTTAAATTTCTTAGCTCTAACTTGAAAATTACTATGGAAGTGGCCTTTGTATAACAAAATTCATTTAAGAAAAGAATAAGCCTGGTAACCTTAAAGCGAAATTACTTCGCTGACATCCCGTTTTTAGCGAATTGTGACATCTCAGCCTTTGTCGTGTGTAAGAAAGCGGAAATAATTTGACTCAGGGCGCGCGAATAAAGAATCACGCAATTACTGCACTTTTTCTTACGCGAGTCACTCTTTGCATGCGCCTCTTCAATTCTCACCTGACTTTTTCAGCTCCTGCCACACAATCTTCTCAGTCTCATTCGATGACACTTTCTTGTAGTTTTACAGTTAGCAAAGTTGAGGAAATGGCGTGTACCTTTTGAAAAATCTAACCAGACAATTAGTTGTAGATTTGTTACATGCACTTAAAATAATCTGGTCAATTTTTACAGAGAACTTAGCCAGAAGTGTCTATATTTCGTTCAAATACGGAGTGTCATTGTCTTTCAATAAATTTGAATAAAATATGACGATTTCTAGACGAAAGCTATTGCCCAATCGAACGGACTACCGCCTGAGGGCATTCCATTATTAATGACCTAATTTTAGCATTTATGATCCACACCCTTTTCGGCACCAAAAAATTAGCAACTGACTTTCAGCGCAGTATTACTCAGGATTTTGGTCCTCACTGATTGAACAATTTATTTCCTATGTTTAAAACATTATGGTACAGTTTAGTGTCACTTCGGCCGAGTTGAAAAAGGTACAAAATGGCTTAAGTAGCTGTGTCACACGCATCTTTTATTAACTATAGCTTTCATTAATTGTAGCAGTTTATTACGTCGTATTTTCCATTTCAATATACATTTACATGGTAATCGTGTTTATTGTCATGTATGTTATCTTTGGCTTTTTAATCATGTATTGCATGCTCCGTCTCTGTGCTTTCAATACCTTTATCTTTCAATATCTTCATCTAAACCAAGACCAAACCTACCTAAAATTGTTATTATATTCCCTTTGTAGAAAGCGGACGTTAGGACTTTATGTTTGTTCTCAATCAACCGAGGAGGCATTTAACGAATCAAGGGGTGTGATTTTTTTCGCGTGTTAAGTTTTTGCTGGGCTTATGCATTTACGCTAAGGTAAGCAAATTATGGGAGGCGATTGCGCAGCGCTTTATGCAAACTAAGAAAATAGGATAACTTTCGTAGCGCGAAATTCGATTGCCCTAAAATTTGGTAGATGAATCTGATAGCGTCAGTGATGTGATTGAATACAAGTAACCTGTTGAGCAAAAAAAAAAAAAACTAGCAGAACATGACTATGCGAAAAAAAATCTCACCTCCTGCTCTCACACAAAAAGATGAATAGGTATCTATTAGATGTTGGCTTGTGTAATCACAAAAAAATTGTGGGAGTAGATTATTCAGTTTTCGTGCTTACGAAGCGCGAAATTTATATATACTCGGATTGAATAGTCGAGTCAAATGGGAGAAATTAACGAGCGTATGCTACTATTTCCACTCACCATTTTTTAAAACTCCTTTCGTTGAATTGAAACTACATAAAGTAACGGCGCGCGAGGCTTCGGTCGTTATTACCAGGTTTAAATCACACGCTAGGGGAAGGAGAATATGAACATTTTCGTGCACATCAGGAACAAAATCTTATTCACGCAGCACGAAATTTAAATACACGCACATATTCATTAAACAGTCGAGCAAATGACGATAGTCTTCTACATGATTCAACGGCGCGGTAGGCTTCGGACGTTAATACCAGGTTACACATGTTCTCATTACCTTTGCATCGCACAGTGAGCCTCTAATTGAAAATATCTTTCGCCAGTTTTAAGCAATGTAAAGGAAAAAACGGTGACATTTCTTTACTTCAGATACGAAAGCTACAGTCGCCCCACCAATTACCCCACCGTGACTATTTGCATCCTAAAAAATCTACCAGAATCACCCCCACGGGGAGGATTTGTCGTATCATCAGCATCATCTGCCGCTCGTATGATAATCGGAAATTTTGAAAAATCCCGCGTGTATTTTAAAGCTGTTTCCGCCATTGTTCCAAGGTAGCCATATACGGTCATTGTAATCGTTAAACAAAGCCTGCTCAACTTTCAGCTGATCCGCTTTTCTTGATACGAATACTAGCAAAACAATTGCTTTACTGCGGTCTGACAAACGCTAAACCGCCAGGATCACTTCATACTGAGCTAAAACATTTACCCTGCTAGGGCCAAAAGTCACATCTCACAGATTTTAATAATTAGAGATCATAATGTAGGTAATTCTCTGAAAGAATTGCACATAGGTAGGCCCTTTGACATTCCAAGGGCCCTGAATTCGTGGTATTTCGCACTCACTCACTCACTCACTCACTATTTCAACCCCCTCTGAGAATGTTCTTAAAAGGATGAAAAAGAAGCATTGTTACAGACAATTTAATGGTTTAATTTAGAATAAGGGCTCATCTATATCTAATAATTATTGGCACAACAGACCATGCAAACTGAAATTATATGGCAGAGGTAATTCCGAGTAACTGAAAGGGCTCATATATTTAACAAATACAGGCACAAAAGACTTAATTAATGAAAAGTTATTTGATAGATTACACGATTCGATAAAAAAACTTCATCTTTTCCTTAAGAGATACATAAAAACCAAAAATCTACTCATAAGACGAACACCTCGTGCTGTTGTCAAATATTTGTGTTATGACCATCACTTCTAGTTTGATACCCACTAACTTTGATACCTCGGATTACAAATGTATTGGGGGTATTGCAAATGGTTCTTCTATCTCCTGTTTATCTAATATCAAGAAAATTTGTGTCAGTAAGTCAGATCCGAAGCAAAGTTTGCTTGATATCAAGTCTAAATGGTGAAAACAACTAAATGACCTCCTCATTCAGATACGTTGTCTCTTATCAATGTTAATACCCATATAAGAGGGGAGCTGATTTCGTAGGATCCGAGCTGAAACCCTCGATCTCTCGAAGCTGATTAAAAGCTGCTGTGATTAAAAGCATTAAGATTAGTGCAAAAAGAGCTGCATCGCCAGAAAAACAAGGAGCACGAGATTGCCAATTACATAAACCGCTTAATGTTGAAATTTCTTCACTTTCAAGTGACAGTTGTGATGTTTACCTACCGAAGAGAACAGCCGCTTCAACAATTTCTTCAAGTACATAATTTTCTTCTCTCAGCTGTCCTTAGATGATACCAATGTATCCAGGTTTCTTTTCTTTCAGACGTTGAAGTGGAAATTGGCCCTTTTTCGGATGAATCTTCCACTTTTCTTTCATCAGATGTCATGTGTTCTCTGTCATTTCTGAGGTGATGTTCTGATAATTTCTTTCCTAAGTATCAAACTTCAGGTTGGAATTTCTTTTCTACTTTTGTCTTTGATTGATCCTCCGATGTCTTCTTCTACAATTTCAGGCGTCTGATCCATAAGAGAGTCAGAGAGTGTCGGTTAAGCCCAGCATTTTCAACTGAATCTTTTACCTCGAGTTCAATATCATTTTGGAAATAATTAGATAATGGAAACCCATCCAAACAGGCATCTTGTCAAAATAGAAGCACGGTTGGAGTAAATGAAAGACTCAGCCTGCAAAGCAGGTAGAGGCAAGCTCAAGTCGAGGTTAATCAAGGAGAAAGCGAAGCCAAATGGCTTAATAACGGGAAGTTTTCAAATACGACAGCGAAAACCCTACGTAAACTCATTCTGTAATTTTTATTGTCTGATCACATGACCTAACTTAACACGTGATAAACTCATCGGATCAATATCAATATATGAGCAACTTTGTACCTACCCCTCTCCTAACCCAACACTAACTCTGACACGTCATCAGTTGGCTGTTGTTAAGTTAGGGGAGGGGTAGGTGCGCAGTTGACACTGATCCAACTCATCAATTAACGTACTTCAAGCGATGATAAATTACTTTCCATTGCTATATAAATAGTGATGTTTTTTGATGTGTACGCCATCTACAGTGAAAACAAATTGAATGTTTCCTTATACACCACAGTGTCTTGTTATTTATAAGTCGGGTCAAGTCGGAGGAACTTTTGCTCTTCTATTTGACTTGTATTAGGCCTGTCACTGAATATGCATGCCCTGTTTATCATCATAGCCTCCCGCAATACCTTTCAGTAGATCTTGAGAGATGTCAAAGGCGAGCTCTACGTATTATCTATCCAGATTGTTCGTACAATGAGGCGCTTCTTTTGACTGGTCTAGTTCCCTTACACAACCGCCGCGAGTTCTTATGTGATAAGCTTTTTAATTCCATCCTGTCTAATCCCTCGCACAAGCTCTATAGCTTACTACCTCCCAAGAATGAGTGCGAAGTCAATTTAAGGAGTCAGCACTCTTTTACTACACGGCGCCTCCACACCATTCGTACTCGAAATAGTTTTATCCATCACTATGTCCATAAAGCAATGATGTAATATTGTTTTTCTCTTAATTATATATTTTTGTCTTTTTAATTAGTTCTTCTTAGCCATTTATTTTTTGTAGTATATATTTTATTGTAAATCAAACGTAATTCAGCCTATGGCTGCAAGGTTCTTGATAATAAACTATCTATCTAACTATCTATCTAACTATCTATCTATCTATCTATATATGTATATATATCGCTCAGCCACCGTGCTTCGAAATATTTGTATAAAAATTGCTTTGTTTGCAATTATCACGCAATCAAAAGACCAAACTAAAATCATCTTGATAAATGCCACATTTTGGCCAAAACTCTATTCATACCCTAACCTATCCCTAAAATAAATACAATTCAGAGTTAAAGAAGAGAAGAGAAAGAACAGCTATTTACAACGCGAACACTTCGTGATGTTTCCTCTTCATCAAATTGTTGACCATCACTTCTTGTTAGACTTAGGGTTAAGTGGATGAGGGATGACGCAGGGATGGATACGTTGTCTCTTATAATTGTTAAAAATATTTGAAATCTATCCATCTCGACGAAATGTTTCACATTGAATCGGTTTCAAACTTTGAGGTAGAACTGTGAGCAATTGGCACATGTCAAATAACCAGGTCTTATTATCAGTGACTACCACTAAGTTGTGAATTGAATCGTAGAAAAAGTTCACAAAGTGATTAAGAATCGGGTTGGCATTTCAACTAACTTAAGACATTTTCTTACCAAGAATATATTGTTTACCCACTAATCCAAACTACTGTCAAATTATTTTGATAACCTCAAAGTGAATTATTTAGAAAAAGTCGAATGACCACTAACAGTTTAACTGGCTATTCCTTCGTCTCTATCCACTGCCTGGTACTTCAAACTCCGCATTGGTCTCCTTTACTCTCGTCGCATAACAGGTGCCCTTGATTATGAAGAAAGGACTCTGCTTTGGGTTTTTCGCTTCCTTAATCGGTTCTTGAAATATAATGAGAAACGCAACATTAGCGTTTTTATTTACCATGAATCCTTTGGTGAGAGCCCTGAAATATTTTAATCCTTTCACCCCTAAGAGAGACTAACATCTAATTTCTCCTTACAATATCACCGTGCAATCACACATCACGGTCATGAGGATAAAGGAAATAACCACCAACTTATTAGCTCTTGATTGTTTCAACAAATTCGCCTTAAAAGCACCTCAGGAAACGTAAACGTGAGAATATGCATGCTGATGTTAGGGTGTAAAGGGTTAAAGAGAGCTGAGATTGTTTCTCTTTATTAGAAAAACAAAACTTGACTCGCGTCTCTTGAACTTATACTTGTCACTACCCCTCACTGGGAAGGGAAATGGGGTGACGATTTCGTAATAGCCGAGCAGATACCCTCGAATTTCTGGAAGCGCACAGTTTACCTCGGGGTTAGTTCTCGGAAACTGTTTTGTCCTGAAACTGATGGAGTTCGCAGGCAAATATCCCAATATGTTGTGGTACCAAATGAAGCTAATTTCTTGTATTAAACAATTATATATTCGCCTCAGGCTCGTTGATTATAATCCCCGAGACGAAGTCGAGGGGATTATTCAACAATGTTTACCGAGCCTGAAGCAAAAAATTGTTTTATTGTAATTGCTCGAGTGCTTTTGAATTCTGTTGTTAATCTGTTAATAATTGCGCCTTTTTTGTTTCAATTGTGTTGATTACTCATATCAAGATAAACAGGCAGTTTAAACAGGTTTATACAATTCAATCAGCAAAAACTCCACATCTTACATTTTGAAAACCAAACTCAGTGGCGTCTTTTGCGCTCTTCGCGACTGAGTTTTCCTTCTATTGCACTTATCACTTCCTTGCGATATGATTATGGCAAGATATGACGCAATCCATAGCGCACGTATCTCTATAATCACTAGAGAAATTATACTTAAGTTGTTACATTCGACGTTACTTCGGTCAAGGATTAAACAGTGATTTATTACCTTGGAATCACCAGATATTTTCCGATTGCCTCTCCCACATGGTGATGATTGAGATTTCTTGAGTTCAGCTGCCTGCAATTGGGAACAAAAGCGACGGGTTTGAGTGGGCGTTGGCAATTTAGAACAAGTATTAAAAGGTATTTAACCTCTGAATAACTCTTTTTTCAACTGATAAAAAAGAGCTTCATCACCGGAAAAACAAAATGTACGAGACTGCCAGTTACATAAACTGCTAATAAACATTGGTGATGTTTACCTACCGAAGAGAACAGTCGCTTTAAAATTTTGTCCAGGTACATAATCTGCTTCTCTCTGCCCTTTCTGGATAGGATCAGCGAGTCCAGTTTTCTCTTCTCTGCTGCTGTCATATTCCCTTGTTCTGATTGTAGATCCGCGAAACTGTTGTTCAGATTATTATGCACGGCTCTCAAGCTACAATGCGAAAAATCGTAAAATTTCTCTCTTAAGAACTCATCGCACTTGCACGCTTCCCTCATCATGCCCATCACTTGTGTGTACAGTTCCTGAATGGTTGTGTTATGTCTGGAGATCAAATCCAATTTCTTAGTAACATGGAAAGCTTTTCCTTTCAGCTCAGGTATCTTGAGATTTTCTTCTACAACCGACAGCTTCTCCTGCAGGTCCTTCAGCCTCTCGGAAATCTTTGGCGCTTTGGAAGATGAATTTTCCTCTTTCTCTTCACCTGTTTTTCTGTTTTCTTCTACACCTTCAGACGCCTGAGTGGAAAACTGTTCCATCTCTTCAGCTGGTGTTCTGATAAGTTCTCCAACAACTTCAACCGTCTGGGTGCAAATTTGAATTGCTATGAATGAATCTTCCAGGCTTTTATCTTCGACTGGTGTTCCGATAATTCCTTTTTCCACCTCAGACGTCTGAGTGGAAATCTCCTTGTGGTATGAACCTTCCCTTTGAAATTCGGCTGATGTCCCAGCAATTTTTACTTCACCTTCAGACGTTGGAGTGGAAATCGGCACTCTGTCTGATGGATCTTCCAGGTTCGTTTCATCGGATGGTCTGTATTCTTCTCCAACTACAGGGTTTTGTGTCCTAGTCTGCTGTTTGATGGGTGAATCTTCCCTCCATTTCTCACGTGGTGTTTCGGTAAATTTTTCTGCAGTATCAGACTCCTGGGTCGAGATCTCTTTCTGGCCTTTGTCTTCAGTTGATCTTCCGACGATTTCTTCCATAACTTCAGGCGTCTGAACACCAATCTGCTCTTTGGCGGGTGAATCTTCCCCTTTCGTTTCATCAGATTTTCCAAATACTTCTTCAGTTTCATTCGTCTGAGTCGAAATATGCAATTTGAGGGGTGAATCTTCCAGCCATCTCTCAGCTGATGTATCATTAGTTTCCTCTAAAGTGTCAGGCGTCTGGGTAGAAATCTCTTTCCGGTCTTTGTCCTCAATTAGTTTTGCGATGTCTCCTTGCATAACTTCAGGCGTCTGAAAGGAGATCTGCTCATTGCTGGGTGGATCTTTACGGCTTTTGACGTCAACTGATGTTCTGACTGATGTTCCGATAATTTTTTCAATAACTTCAGGTGTCTGTGCAGTGATTTGACAGGTAGCATCAAAATATCTCTTCAGTTCCTGTTTGGGGAGTTGAAGCAACTAAGTGAACAAGTTATGAAAGGAAGTGATCCTCTTCCATTATCATTCAGTAACCTAACAATTCTGCGGAACGAAAACTTCGAAATAAACAGGGACTGATTGATAGGCACTGTCAGGAATGTATTACTTTTAACCCCTAAACTCCCAAAAGTGACCAAGACAGAGTTTCTCCTTACAATATCAATACGATATCAAGCAGGCAAGTGATGAGAATAAAGGAATATATTAATTAGGGGAATACTAGTTGATCCAATACCAAATTCTTCAAACTAACATCACAAGAACTGTATGGCAGACAGTAAGAAGAATTACTAAAGAGATCTTGAGAGTTCAAGGGTTAATATACATACCAAACAAGTGAATAGTGCTTTTCGCACCTGCTGGTTGGCTGGTTCGCTAGATTGGCAAGTGCTATTCATCACAAAAGCGTCACCCTCCGAGTTTTAAGAACATTACAACACACCCGGCTGAGCCTCGTGAGCCACTCTTTTGTTCTTACAACATCTTTACGTCATCTGAGATCTTTTACTGAACAGACCCACAGCAACATAGGATCGATTTGTTAAACATATGTTGGATTAAAAAAACCTGCTAGAATTGGTTTCTTAAAGTACCTTATCGGATGTGTTAAATTCTTTATCAGGACTCTTCCATATGAAAAATGTCCTCCTTTCGGTGCTGTCGACCCCCACGATGATCTCAGTCTGTTAAAAAAAATGGGTGCAATTACTAAGCCATACGCACATCTGTACTAACAAAAGATCAGTAAATTCACACTCTCTTATGGGTGAAGACATACCCCATCTTCAAGGCGAAATGTTCCTTGAATCTCCAGCATTATCATTCTTCTATCACTCGGACCTGCAGCGTTAAATATTCAGCATCAAAATTAGAAGGTCCTCAAATTTAAGCTTTAAACATGGGCACCTCTGGTATCTAGTGAACAATATAAGAACTTGACGCCTAGTCCAAGAACAGTTCCAAAAGAAAAACTGACTTGAAAATTTATCACGGCAACTTTAGTGTATGAGATCAATAGCCAGTTTGTGTTAATACCCAATGGTCACCTGCTGAATAGATTAACGTTTTTTAGAACGCCATAAAGCACATTTCGAAGAGGTGCATAGGGAAAAAACAAATGAAACACCAGAATATAGCCAAGAGTCGAAAAAATTTAAGAATACCAATTAATCTGTCGGCCAATGATTGAAGTTCGATGGCCTTTAAAGCTTCAGCGAGTTTCCCAGCAGTGGCACCATGTTGACCTCCCTTTTCCATCCATCGCACCAAAAGTTTGATACAACGGTCGTGGTAAGAACAATTTTCTCTTTCAATAACTTCAATGGAACGTTCTTTGAATCCCAGTTTCCGAGCCAGGTCTTTCCATCTCGCTCCAATGCCCTCGGGGAGCTGTCGATCATGTATGTCAGACTCGGTCAGTGAGTAAAGAGGATCCAAAGAAACAAAGGAATAACCTAAAAAACATACATGCATTTGAAAACAGTTTCACGCTGCATAAGAAATTTTGACACTTATTGGTCATGCGAAATAAGAACAAAACTGTATGAACAGCAACTCGTATGGAAATACGTAGGCTGCAATTGAGTCAACTGTTATTATCACATGATCACGCGATTGGAATCAGAACCAAAGACAACATTCCACCCCCGCTTTTCAAGCGATTACTAAACAATATCACCCCATGAGCTAAATGACTTGATAAAATAGCTAGAGAATCCAAAAGAAGGTATTTCGCTGAATAACATCTTCTTCTGGGGTACTGCATTGATCTCAAACCTTGCATTCGTTTGATGTAAAGTAAACGAAATTATAAGCGTGATTGTAGTTTCTTGTCGATGACCCTTATCGTGTTTGTCTGGACTAAATTTAGATATCCTATTACTATAAAATTTCAAAGAGGTTGTGTACAAAAGGTTTCCGAACTTCATTTATGAATTGAATCTCCATATGGAGCAGCATAGGTGCGTGTCAGTCTGAGAGACTCCAAAAACGGAAAAATTATGGCTGCACGTTTAATCACTGTCTCTGACTTAAAGGTTGACCTCCCAGGTATGAGCTCTTTAGAACGAAAGCGTTTGAAGCAACTTGTATTTATTCTTTTAAGGCTCTCTTAATCTTTCTCCGATCTTTTAAGTCTCTTTAAATAGTATTTTTAACGCTACATCCAGTGTTCTGACAAATTCAAAGTTCATCGTTTTTGTTTTGAGCACTTAGACATGCAAACAACGTTTTCAATATTGCAGTTCTGTGGCACACCTTCCCTTTCAAACTACAATCCAGCCTCTTCTGGATCATTTATTTAATCTCGCTCTGATTCAATGATAGTTGATAAGAAATAGTTTTATACAGCTTATAGTATAGTCTAGTACAGATAATAAATTTAGCTAGATCATTCGATAATTGGTATGGTAATTAACCTATTGTTTTTTTACAAACACGGCTGGATGGAAGAGCATGTAGATGTGAATTGATACCGAATAAATACGTTTTACCTACCTACCTAAATAAATATTTTGACGATGAAACATAAAACGTGTAGCGAGGTTCCATCACAATTAAAAGATAAATATCTACAGAACTTTCAAGACTGTTTTATGGCTTTGTTATGTGCTAGTTTTGTGTTTAGATTATGCATGGATGGGTATAAAACCAATTGCGGTTTCAGTATTTTGTCAACATTTCGTGCGGTGATACGATGTTGTTTGAAGGGGTTTTTGCGGTGTTGAGAAGATTAAGAGTCACCTGATATACCTATCCTCGAGCAATCACCTAGCCAACTCGACTTGCAAATTTTGTCTCTGTTTACATTGTTTCTATAGCGCTTTGTTATTCCATACATTGTTTCTGATAAACACAGCCTAATCATGGGTAAATGTAGAAAAATTATACCACAAATTGAAGCTCATCTGATTAGGAAGACGACAGACCTAATGCAACAGAATATAATGAAGCTTTAAGACCTATCTTTGAAGTTAACACACGATTTTAAAACGGATAATTAACGCAGTGAAATGCGCAATGGCGTCACACGATTTGAATGAGTTTAAACTAATGTTTCACAATAAACCTTCGAAGCACAAGATTAGTGGTTGAAATAATTACTTCGTATACAACATGAGGAAAACATCCTCAAAACGAATGTCTATATTGTTTAGATAATTCTTTTTTCAGCATTCATATATGATCGGCTCGATGTAATGATGCAATTTTACGATTTTCACACTCCAGTCGCAAATGAGCTTGGATAGAGATTTCCGTTTGCAATAAAAGATCTGCTTACCCTCACTTTGCGTCATTCTATGAGTTCATAATCAATTCGCGCTGAAGAATCTTTTTTTTAAGCCAACTTTGATCCGCTCACATGAATTACGAGGAGGTGCTAACGAAAGCATGTATGCACTTGGCCTGCGTCAATTACAGCCTCCGTTATCCTAGGGGCCGAGGGCGAAGACCCTGGGAACAATAATGAGCTATCTTTCACTACGCATGCCATCTGCTCTCACTCGTTGGTCGCGGGCGCGCTCGAGCCCCTGTTCTGGAAACTTGGCGAAACTGAACTTCTTTTACCGACTTTATATGCACTTTGTAGGCATAATCGATTCTGATATTTAGAACGAATCAGTAATATGTAATTTGTTCTATGGAAACGGGTAAACATCAAACACTGCTGGAATCGTATCAAACTCTTTCCCAAGCGCGACGAACATTTGTTTTTCTCGGTTCCAGGTGTACGCGACCACTAACCCTACGTATGCACATGCTCTCCATTGCGAATTTTCAAAATGGCGGACAGGTCAAAGAGGAAAATAAAAAAAGCAAAGCGATTTTGCAATAAATACTTAACATACACCCCCGTTAGAAAGGCGAATCCACGATGAAAATATACAAAACTGTATGATATTGAGATCAGGGAGGTTGACAAAATCAACAAGAGAGGTTGAAAATTCATTACGTTGGCTATAGCAGATGCTTCGATGAATGGACACCCTTCAGGGCCGATGGAGGATCTGGATATTTTCCGTTTGTTCACAGCGAAAAGCTGTTCATTCCCTCGGAAAACTCTCTAGAGGATAGAAAAGAATCGTTCCATGGCCAACTTGCTCGTGAAATAAAGAAAAAGCTTTGGTCTGGACGGCGAGAGGACCCTGATATAAACATAGACCTTAATGTTGACCAAGATATTTTCATGGAAGGTCTTGGGAGTGTTTTGCCCGGCGTTCTTCAAAGAGGGAAGATGGTTTACCAATTGGAGTCAAATAGGGTGCTTGATTCGTATCTGGGGCTGAAGTGGGATGAAAGAATTTTAAATGTAGCTGAAGATTTTGCCTATGTAATTCCAGGAACTATTAAGTATTGGCTGGGACAAAGAAGTCCAATCATTGAATACAAGCTCATCGTTGTAGGTGTTCTTAAACCCTTTCATAACCTGCTGTCTCCAGGAACTGAATCCTGTTTTTCTTCAGAAACAGTTGTTTGAGGGCATCAACCCCTTTGTGATTTGTGGATCTGAAGAAATCTTTAGAAGCTCTACTATTGTATTTTTTCCAAGCCTTGCTGTGTGTAATATGCTATGTTCTGATAAAGTGACAGGAACTCAGGAAAATGATAACATAGTGTATGCATGTAGGGAGTGACATCTTTTGCTTGGTAAACTTTGAGAAAGTGCTCAAACCATGATTTGATAATTCTTTGCAGTTCAAGGATACCCTCTTCAGATGTAAAATCTAGCTTCAAATCACCAATTATGTCCATAGATTTAGCCCAGATCACTTGTATGTCTTTGTTTTGACTGTAATGAGGGACAAGAATAGGTCGGAATGTTTATATTCTGAAAGAGTTTCAACTTTTCTGGTTCAGTAAGATCTCTATATTCCAGCTTTTTGCTCTCTTTGTTGATTCTAAAATTAAAAGTTATTCCCATACTGTTGATAAATTCTTCATAACATGCCATGTGTTTATATTTATCCCTTAGGAATCCATCAGAGGTTTTTTTTTCTCAATAGTATCACTTCTTCTCAGCTCTCTTATGATTTCAGAAAAAATGTAATGTATCTATGATGACATGGTCCATAGGTATAAAATCAAATAATGGTTGTGCCTTACAGTTTAATTTCTTTCCAGTGGAGAACCTTGCTATTTTGGTGACAGTTCTAGCACCAAATTTGGGGTCATTAATTGACCATGTTTTGCTTGTGTCCCACTGTTGCTCCCTGGGACACTTGCATCACACACAAGCATAATGCTCATTTGCCCTGCCTAAACCACATACCAGTGCTAAAAATTTCAAATCTCCACCTAAAAAGTATTCAATTTTATAGGTGCAATTATTTGCACTTATCTCCTTTAAGTTTGACATTTCCATTCGAGGGTCTGCTAGGCTGTCTCTCAGATTATCATGTCTCTGTAGTTTTTATAATAGCAAGTATATAATTTCCCTTCACACCCATTGCCACATCCTTTTCATGGAGAATAGTAAGCCCCTTTCCAATATTTGTACCATCACCACTAAGCTTGATCGTAATAGTTTCTCCATCATTGATTTCTCCATTCTTCTGAAGCCTAACAATGTGCTCTTGCAAGCTTTCTGCAAATCCTAACTGAACACCTTCAGCATCTCCTGGTGTTGGTTTCAAGTTCCATTCATTGTTTAGCTCATTAATTTGCTTCTTGATGGAATATATATTGGGGAGATCATTAGCCTTAATGGCAATTTCATGCCAGGCCTCATTTGAAATAATGAATTTATCTTTGAGGTAGAGCCACATATTTATGTTATCAATGTCATCATTATTAAGGGCTTTTGGGTCAGACTCTGTAAATGGCAGCTCTCCCTCTCCAACAAGATTGAAAGTTTCATATTGATTAGTCTCAGTGTTGAGGACTTCAATATTATTTTGGTTGCAACAAAATTGTACAGCCCAAGAAAGGAGAGAGTAGTTTAGCACTCCTCCTTCTGTTGGTTTTTAATTCTCTTTTGATGGTGCTTAGAATAGTCATTAAACTTCTTCTTAGCTGGGTCTCTACCTTTTTTTCCATTTGCAATCACTTTTTTGGCCAACTGAATAAATTTTTTATTGTAGAAGGCCCCTTTCTTCTCAGCTTTCTCGAGAGCTTCTCGGGCTTTTTTATGCACTCGCAATCGCTTTGCCTTCTCCTGTACCAACGATTCTTCTAATTTTATTTTTTCTCCCCTCAACTGGCTGTTCTCATCTTTAAGCGGATGTTCATCAACCTCGTTGTAGTACACCCTAAATCGATACCGAGGGCCCGTTTCCAAATTGCTAAGAAGTGCATTTAATTGCCACGATTACTAGCTTTCTTGACAGCTTTCTGAAAACAGAATATTTTCTTTCTGAAGACTTCTGATATATGGCTATTGATTACTATACCTCGTATACCCGATTGCTCAAACACTTTGTTTACAATTATTGAAAGGACCGACTCATGGTTTTCTCTGAAAACTTCTTTGCTTTGAAATAGTATAGATTAGTAAGCTGAAACGAAAAATTAATTAGGGAAGTTTACGCTTAAAAAAGGCATTTATTTAAACTTCATACTGCGATGAACTTCGCAAATCTTACTTGTTTATCTCGTAAGTAAACAATGGCAGATTAAAAAATCAAAAGGAGGAAGATACAGCTGTTTTGAAACGCCATTTGACGAGGGTAAATCTGCTTTTTGTTCGACACTTTACATATCAAAACAAAGGAAATTTGTTCCTCTTTTTGATTCTGGCGGTACATTTTTAAATTGTGCTTGCGTAAAAGGGATATCGCCCGAGACGCTTCGCTCGGTTGTGTTTTGAACAAAAACGCCTTGTTAATTTCACGCAACCGTTCGGAGAAAAGGTTAAAATGACGAGGGAAAAACTTTACCTTCAAGTTAGAAAATTAGCGAAATAGGAAGCCACAATATTATATTTTAATATTTCAGAGGTACATTGAGTGCTTTTTCCGTAGAGAATCCGCACGATGGTAAAATGTTCAAAAATTACACTCGATTTGAGTGTGGCGTTGAAGTGGGCGTGGTCACTATATTCATGTTAAGACTATTTGTACCCCGTGAGTTTGATATGATTCCCTGTCAAAATGGGAAAGATGCGGCAATTAAATCTCTCAATTGGGGAGAAAGAAGAAAAAACTTCATACCCAATATACAGTGTCAATTAAGAACTCTGAGAAAAACGAAAATGATTAAAGGATAAATACTGTCAGACACCGTTTACTATTCTCTTTCCTCCGCTACAATTCTACTAACAGCAGATTTACTTCTCTTACCTCTCTTCTTCGAAACCATTCTTTAACTCTAATATTGAATGGCTCTGATTAACCAAACTATAGAGTGTACGCTTTAGTACTCACTATCGGTGGGCCTCAGTGCGCAAGCGGGCCAATGAAATCAAAGTCAAGAAATTCAACTTCAGAGTTGAAACCAAAATAACCTCGGACTTTGATTTCAAATATTAAGTTAGAGCCAAATATATAGTATAAATCATAACAAACTCACTAGGTACTTCACAAAAGTATAGAGCGATCGAGGTTCAAAAAAATACATTTCCCTAGGAAAAAATTTCTGCCTGACCTATGCCAGTTTTTAACAGAGGATATCATCGGACTAATCAATTCATTTGATTCTTCATAGAGAGTCCGTAGAGCATTGTACTAAATGAAGAACTTCGATAAGATATATCCAACAACTCTGCACCTATGTTGGAGATTATGCGCACATAGTAAATAAGCTAGTGATTACTGAGAGTACAGCAAGTAAGCCACTGAGGGTGGGGGGGAGGAGGGGGAAGGACGGGGAGGAGGGGGGGGAAAGGAGGGGGAGTAGGTAGATGGCAAACCAGTTGACTATTTACAAAGCCAAATTAAGGCGTTGGACTCCATCGGGACTACTCATTGACGATTTTGAACTTGGATCATCCAGATCTCAAATCCTTTGCCTTTACTTCATGTCCATACCACTAACTGAGAAAAATGTAACCAGGGATGTAGCGCTAACCAAGAAAAGATTAGACTATCTGGTGCCGGAAAATGTAACTCCGGAGTATCCACTCTAATCAAGGTAAATATCGCATCCCCCGACGAACGACGACGGCTGATACTTATATCTTGTCCCTAGAATCTTTATCTTGGTTTCTGTCATTATCTGTTTTGTAAGAAGTAAGGACACAAGATGCTTTGTCTTGCGTTTTCTTCTTCTTTATCCTGGGGATCTTCGACTGCAATGGGAAACGTATCGTCGGAGTTTATCAACCCTCAACCCTTTCACTACCAAGAACTCATCATTAATTCTCCTTAATATCTGCCACAAAATTCTTATGATGTTAGTTTGGAGAATTTGGTATTGGATCAACTAAAATCCCCTAATCGCTATTTCTCTTTATTGTCATCACTAGTCTGCTTGACATTGCATTGACACTGTAAGGAGAAATTCTCTCTTGGTCACTGATGGGAGTTAAAGGGCTAGACCCCTATGAGTGACCAGTATCTAATTTCTCCTTACAGTATCAACGCTAAATCAAACATTAAGGTCATGAGAATAAAGGAAATTATCACCAACTAAAAAAGCTCTTTGTCAAATTCTCCTTGTCGGTACCGTCGGAATTTTATGGCAAACAGCAAGGAGAATATGCATACTGATGTTGGGATGTAAATATTTGAGCCCACTACTAAACCAGCTGTACTTCTTCAAGAAGAACACCTTTATATTGGCTTCCTCGAACATGTTATCATAACGTGAGAGGGTTAAATTTCGACAGGAGCATATTTGTCGATCTCCGAACACTTAGGCTCAGAAGGCAAGGCTCAAAAAAATATGCTCCTGTTGATAATTCTCTTATAGCAGACATACAAAACGATTATCTAACGTTTGGCATAAGAACAATTTCTGCTTTCCAAATATTTACTTATAATCGACGTTATCACTATTATTGTCATTCACAATCTTGATGAAATAAATTCTGATTCGAGCTGCGAATGAAATTGAAGTGAAAAAATGATACTCGCAGAAAAGCAGTAATTTAATCAACTCAGAACACAAGAGAGTTAACCCTTTAACTCCCGGGAGTGACCAAGACATAATTTCTTCTTACTATATCTATAGAATATCATGCAGGCAAGAGATAAAAATTGAGAAAAATATCAATTATGGGATTACGAATCGATCCGATTCCAAATTCTCCGGGCTAACGTAGTGAGAGTCATTTGGCAGACAGTAAGGAGAATTACTGATGAGATCTTGAGAGTTCAAGGATTAAAGAGAGTTATTTTATAGTAACTTTAACTCAATTTTCAGGCTTCTTTTCTGCAATTGCTTCAATTTCAGCTCACCTACAATTAAGGATCATTTCTATACGTAAATTGTTGTTCTCGCTCTGGTTGGTAAATGTTGCGTCGACCTACTCGTATCGTTTAATCTCGTTTACCTTGGTTTACGTTATCTTGTGTACACAGGTGTAACTCAAATAGTCTCTAATGTTCTAAGTACTTTGTTATAAGGGGTGTTTTGATTCTACACATGGATAACAAATCTCTTACCTTTGTTTTCAAATCTTTTAGCTGGGCTCCATCTGAATTAAATCTGAAATTCTGTCCAAAAGAGAAAATTGAATACACATTACAACACGGTCATTTCCAAAGAACCTTGCGGGGGCAGGGAAGGGTTCGTAAATTTATCTTCGTATACAGTGTTCCTTCCCTTCTGTTCGCTCTGTCCAAAAGAAAATTGAGGCCAGTCAACAGCAGTTCCACTTTTATCAGTCAGAGAAACTTTTTCTTAAAAATAGATCGGACGAAACGAATTGAAACTCGAACAGACGCTCGTGCATTCTGCAACTGACAGAAAACTGCAAAGGAAGGAATCACAATCTTAAGAATGTCGAGAATACTTTCGAAAATAAAATTAAAGTATGCATACAAACAAGAAACATTTTAAACACCTGAGCTGTTATCTGGGTTTGTCTCTGAGAAGGGAATGTTTGAGACTTCTTCAACTCATCTACCTGTAAATTGAAAAGAACAAAATAGGGATGAAAAAACACGACCAGGCGATAGCATAGTGCATTGCTAAATCCAGCATGAGACTTTTCGTCTATGTGAGCGATGTTTCTAAAGCTCGTAAACAGTTCACAACGATGAAAATACAATGCATTACCCAAAATAACTTATTCCATGGTTTAAATATATAGAACGGGCCAACATTTTGATATTTACGTAGTATTTTTTCTAAGCCCCGTAACGCCGAGGAGAAATGCGAGTAATAAGCAAAATATCCACTCGTATTAATTGTTAAGCCATCGAGTAAAGTTTTCTTTGGTCCACTAATTTCCAGTATTTTGGCTTCTAGTTTCCGAAAGCCCAAACTCAGTTATGGATGACCCATCCAGACTCAACTAACAATGAATATCCCAGCATAAAAAAAATTGAGGGAGTCGCTCAACGGGTTTTACGTACTAAAAACTCAATAGTACAGAGGAAGTGAACTGATTTTATTGTATACAGAATGGTGTTTTGAGCAGAAGGAATAATTACCCTTGGAATTACAGCATGTACGATTTACGCTTTCTAGGGGGTTTACACTGACAATCCATCTTACAGAGTGGAGTAACTTGAAAAAAAACTTAAAACTTTTTTCCTTGATAACATACTGGAGAGAAAAGCCGTATCCAACGTCTCTCCAGCTGAATAATTTGACTTTCCCTGCCGTCTCGGTACGATACAAGGTTTTTCAGATTTCTTTTCTCCTCCTCCGTCATGCCATCTTTTTCCGATTCTAGGTCCCCCAGACGAGCGCTGAGATCATTATGCAGTGATCTCAGGCTGTGGTAGGCAAAGTCGTAGAAAGTTCTTCTAAGGGTATGGTTGCAATTACAAGCCTTTCTTGTCATTCCAGTTACTTCGGTGTAGAGCTCCTGTAGAGTTCGACTTTGTTTATCGATGAAATCCAACTTGCTGGTCCTCGCAAAAGCATCTCCCTTTAATTCGGGTATCTCCAAACTCTTCACCATGTCCATCAGCTTTCCTTGGAGATCTTCCAACTCGCTGGAAATTCTTTGCTCCTCTTCGGTAAAACCATTGTTCGCCCTTTCTGCCGATGAATCCATTTCGCCTGTAATTTCAACAGTTTCAGCAGCAATGCGGCTGCTAGCGTCAACATAGTTCTTCAGTTCCTGCAGCGCAGTATAAAATAAATCAGCAACCATTAGATACTAATTTCATAAAACTTGTGATATTTGTGCGTCATTAACGGGTTTTTTTCTTTTATTATACCGAATAACATGGAAATTCGACAGACAAAAACGAATTGATGCACCATTTTAAACAACACTTTATAAACCATGAAGAACTGTCGTCGTTTTCACTTACGATCGAAAATGTCGAAAGAGATAACTGTTTAACGAGTGAATATGGATCTGTAAAATTGATGCTTACCTCGAGGGATGTCTTAAATTCTTTTCCCTCACTCTCCCACATGAAAAATATAGTTTTCCCATAGCGGTCGATACCCAGCATGACCTGCGAATACCAAGTGATAAATTTTTAGTGATTTAAGAATCTCAGCGAGGAAGAGAAGGATATCTCTTTCAAATAAATGGACAAAAACACACCTCGTAATTATCATTAAGCTTAATGGTTCCAGTGATCTCAATCACTATTTTTCTTCTGCCATTTAATGGACCTGCAGTAAACGGGTGATCAAAAAGTTACTTTTTCTCGCAGTGTCAAAATATCGTTAAACAGACAAAAAAAATATACCTCATTTTACTTAAAGGAGCCTTTATTTTGCATATGGCGTCTGTGAACAAGTACAGTAGCATAATTATAATAATATGTACGACAAAATGTAACCTATAACACAGGTGCAAATTTGTGACACGATTGCAGTTGGCAGGCAAGAAAAGACCATGAACACGTTCAAAAACTGCCAAGGTTCTTTCGTCAATAGGCGCTCAAAACGTGTAACTGATCAGAAGCTTTAAACAGCAGTTGAATTTATTTTTATTTAACGGATTACTATACACCGAATTTACTTCGAAGCATTTGTATTGGTTTAAAATCAGTCTTTCTGTGTCTTTAAAAATTATTCACTACACTGAAGTAAATAATTGTTTTAGTATATACCCCACAGATACGAAAAAATAGTTTATTTTTTCAGTGCAATATACCAAAAAATTGTCAGAAAATTTTAAAAACTCTTGACGCGCGATTTTGTCCCATCGACTGCTCGGACGTGAATAGTACTTGCTATTCACCACTTCTAAGCTAACCAATCAGCGTGCGCGAAAAGCACCATTTACTTCTATACACATACCGAGTAATTTTTCAGCCAGAGTTTTGAGTCCTATATCTGTTAATGCCTCAGCCAATTTACCAGCAGTGGCTTCATCCCTGCCTTCTTTTTCCATCCATTTGACTAAGAGATCGACGCAGCGTTCCTTTTCAGATGGATTATCACTCTTTATTGAATCAATCACCGATTTTTGAAAACCTAATTTTCGAGCTAATTCCATCCATCTTGTTCCGATATCCTCGTGAAGCCCGCGTTCATAGACATCAGATTCGGTTAACGGATGACATGGATCCAGCGACACAACTGATTCTACTGAAGGGAAAAATAAAAGCTGGATATCAGGCATCTACTTTTGATAGAAGGATCATGTTTTTAATTAGAACAAACTGGAGCTGCTGCAAATAAACGGCAGGAGGGAGCAAGCCGTCCAGTAGTATTTAAACATATGGTGGGTTTTCAAACAAGGAAGAAGATTCAGAAAAATATATGTTTATGAACTAATAAAAAAGAATCACGCGTAGTTAAGCCCCGTTCAAACGGCCATGATAGGTGATTCTAGTTTCAACTATCTCGCGCGTTTGAACACGATCTATCATCGACTATCATCAACTATCATGTAGTTTGGACATGTTAAAATTCGACATTATAGTTGATGATAGTTTTTGCCATTTGAACGAGCAAATGATATTGTATGATATTTTTCGGTCAGCAGTTTTTCCAAAAACGGGCTCAAACCGAAATATGGTAAAATGACTAAAGCAGCCGTCAAAATTTCGCAGAATGTCTCGTAGCTCATTCTTGTCATCTCTCGGTAGGCTTGAGTATCTTCAACACGCGACTTCTTGACTAAAATTTCAAATCCTACTGAAATTCCCCAACTACGCCCCGTGACACAAATAAAACACAATTCGCTTTTTGGCACAGAGAGAAATTCATAAAAAAAAATTAAAGAATACGAACGAAAAGTAAACAACAGCCAACGTTATGCTCAATAAACCTCTCTGCTATCCTACAACACCACGCAAAATCACCCGGGATGGGAGGGTGGGTGGGAAGAAAATGTAAAATCTCTGTTGTACGCTCGATGTGATAACTGACGCGAAATGAACTTCGAAACTCCTAGAGCCTGATACTGGAGGGTGATTGTTGCGCAATTAATCCGTTTGAATACATGCTTGTCCAAAGGGGGTAAATTGCTGACCTTAGCGCGCCATACTTGTTTACAATTACGCGATCTCATCGCGTGATTGTCAACCCTCGTCAATTCTCATGAACCGTTTGAACGCAAACATAATAGTCAATGATGGTGAATGAGAGTTTAAAATATCGACTATCATCGACTATCATGGCCGTTTGAACGAGGATTTAGATTTAAAACGCAAGCATGAAAAACAGTAGTCACGAAGATCACTTAAACGATAGAGCGATTGAGTTGGAGAGTCGTCATATGGTCGATGCAGCAATTCGTATTCGAGTCAATACGTAAATGTTCGTAAAAGACACACTAAAAGTAGCAGATTACTGGTGTGTGTTGAGTGATTTAACAGTTTCTAAAAGCATTACATAATGTCGAAAGCCGCAAGACGTCAGGCACAATAATAAGGTTAATTAAACATGATTAAATCGGTAAAATGCCAAAGCTGAAGGTTTTACTCGAGGCATTTACTCACAATCTAAGGCTAGATTACGAATGCAAAATATGTTTAACTTTCCTTTTCCCGACTTCAATTTTTAGTTTGACGGCTAATAGCTTCTGGGTGGGTTAACAGAGTACATTGCTTTTAAGTATTTAAAGTTGTTTTTGGTGGTTTTGGCTCAAATTTATTCAGTAAAGCAACGAACCATTAAATTACTTTGTCTAACGATAAGGAAATTCCGATCTGTTTGCTAAAAGCACTCGTGATTCGACAAAACGTTTCAAACAACAAAACAACAAAATGTATAAAGAAACACGAGTAATGACCTCAGCGAGAGAAACTGAGTTTAAACATGCATTTATTTGAGAAAATTTTGACCGAGCATAACGATTGAATTGTGATGTTATGATGCTTAATGTATTAAATTCAACGCTTCAGACAGCCTAGTTCGTCCGGAACGAGTTTAAACGCATCCTTCTCCTCTTTCTCCTATCAATATCTCAACTCCCTACCATACCTACCACAAACTTTTGGCTCATAAGAAAATGACTTTACCGAGCATCTAATTTTGCAACAATCTCCATCCTTACCGTGACATAACTTTTGAGCCATTCTTCTAGTTTACAACAACTCCTCAGAATTTGTGGCGTACTGTCGGTAAATTCGCGGCGGAAGTGACTCGTTCTTTCCTGAAAAGGAATGGTTTAAATGGTTATCTATGTTAGGTTAAAGAGACGAAAAACGCATTTCAATTCTACGTTTGTAATTACTGTTAAATTAGCGTAGTACAGTCCTTTATGTACCAAACTTAATTCAATAATACCAGTTTTTAACCACTGCCCGCAGTTGGAAGAGGCAAATGTCCAAGTATCTCCTTGATGACGTGTATCGATTCATAATGCTGTTTCAACCCCTTTAAATTTAACAAAATGATTACCTTTTCCCTTCGATCAACGACAGCCCCGCCGCTACTGGAGTATGAAATTGGGAAACACCAATTAAGAAACGGCGAAGAACCTTTCTTCAAGACATACTAAAGAGATTTTAAGGGTAACTTCCTCGTTCAATACGCTGAAGTGGAGATCGGTGTTTGTCCCACTACTTAGGCTTGCTATAATGACCTTCTATGATCGAATGAAAACGGAGGCTTACCACGGAAACAGATTATCTATCAAACTTCTTACTGATCCGTGATGACCTCCCTATTATTTAGTCACCAATGAATTTTTATAGTCATAAGCACTGTGCAATAAGTCAGCAAAAATTCCCGTAATGAAGGAAACGTTTCAATGTGATGACTCAAAGTTTAGAGCAGAAAATTCGGCACTGGTTTTGAGAAAAAGGGTAAAGGAAATAATCTAGGGCAACGCAGTAAACGGTTTCGGAGTGTTGTGATATGCGTGGCGTTACCATTGTGACATAGGAATAGACACAACTGATAATGTCAAACACAATTGATTAGGATACATTGCCTCACAAAAGATCATACACCAAGAGAAACTGAGCCTATAGAAATTCACTGCTTTGAGGAAATTTTAACTAATCATATGGATTGAATTATTGTGTTTTGATGTGAGATTTAGTCACTTGATTTCCGCCCTTCCGAGAGCAATTTGACGGGATTAGTTTGTACGCACACCTCCCCCCTCCTTTTACTCCTCACGTCCCTACCCTACACACCTCACCATGCACTTTGCCCATGCGGAAGTACGTTCAGCAAATATTCAATTTTGCGATTATCTTCACTCCTATGCTTCCAGAGTTTGGAGAGATTCTTCCATCTCACAACAAGTCCTTAGGAATTGATCGCGGGTCTGTCTTCTCTTAGGCAGAAAATGCGAAATGGAGGGGGCTTTACGTCTAGTCTTTCTCTCCTGAAGAGAGAACTTTTCCAACAGCCATTTATATCAGATGAAAACGAAGGAATCATCAACTTTTGATTTTAAGCACTTACTTGATATGAAATTAGCGCTATGCGTTGTTTTATAACAACTTTGATCCGGTAAATGCCAATATACGTACCTGATTACCCGCACCTAGACGTCGCTCAAGTTTCCTTGATGGCGTCGTTCGATTCAAGAATCGCATCCAATCAATCAATTTATCACCTTTTTTCAACGGCTGCTACAACTAAGTAGGGTATGAAATTGGCGAATGTTAAGAAGCGGGGAAGATGGGCTTATTCTGGAGCGGCGAACGAATTGAAATTGCAATGTCATGATGTCGGTGTTTTTCCTGAGGTTAAAAACTTGCTCGCGAATGTCGCTCTACTCTAGCCCTGACAGAGAGAAAAGCCGGCAAAATTCTTTAAAAATATCATTCTTGGGATGCCTTTGTTCTCCGATGACCCCTCCCTTCAATGTCTACTGGTCAGGACGGAAATAAATCAGGGAAAACTCCCGGTCAGCAAGCGAACGCTAAATCCCCTTGTAAGAACATAACTGTAAACTTCAAGCCGAGATTAAAAACACAGCTTTAGGTTTGAGGGATACAGGCGGAAACACAAATTGGAAAAAAAACAAGCAAAGCAGTGTTTCGGAGAACTTTGGCATGAGAACATTGCCTTTTCTTTAATTTCTAGTTTCTTAGAAATCACTGATTCGTCACTTTCCTTTCACTTTCAGTTCTTTATTTGAAAACCTGCTTTACATGCACTTTACAGCAATTGCTGACTCATCCTTATATTTTAATCAATAAGTCAGTATGAAGATTAAACCAGGCACATGTCGAACTGGAGAGACCGTTGTATGGTTTCCCCAGTTCTCATTCTGTCCTCCTCGATCTTTTCGTGGCTCTAATGTCAATGGACAGCTGCTTACAGCGGGTGAATCAGACAAAGCCAGGCAGATGTCTGAATGCAATTGCATACAATGCGGATTAAGTGAGGTAATTTCCGTATTAAGCAAGTGCAGGGGTTATCATGAATTATGAGTGTCTTTCCAACGTAGCAAGTTCAAAAATTTAAAGTAAAAATGCCGATTTACGACTGTGAATACGATGTTAGGGTAGTTTCCAAACGGAAGCACAACCAACCATGCGTTAAATTAGCAACCTTTTCTCTACCAATTCATATTTTAACTTCATACATTTCAGTGCACATAGGGAGCGCGAAGCATACCCAAGAAGCCTGGGTGAGATTTGATGCCGAAGAAAGAACCGGGTACCAGGCTCCTAAAAGGGAATACTGCCTGACACCGCACACACAAATTCAAAATCAACTGATGCTCAATTCTTTTTGCAAATATCAATTAAAGTTACACTAACAAACAAACTCAGTTCTCAATTGTTTTATTAACAAAAATAATAGAAATAATAACTAATGTGCTAGCGAGGATCAGCCTCTCGTGTCGATTTTTATCTAGAAAGGCGAATTCCTTGTCTTGATCAAAATGAAAAGTATATCCTCTGTTGAATAAAAAAAAAAACTGAGGATCTAGGGATGATAAATAGACCCTGTTTTACAGGAACTTACAGACTTTAATCAAATACTGAAAAAATAGAACAAAAAAAATGGCTTCACATTTTCGAAGGGACGACTCAAGATATTGAGGGTAATCTTAAGCGTCATATACGAAATTGTCTTTTATTACAATTAGACTCATAAATAATCGTTTGAGAGATTGAACAAACATAACAAAGAGGTAAAATGAAGCGAAAGGAACGAGAATGGTAAAGGATGACATAGAATGAAGATGATCAACAATAAAAATGACGGCTTATCAGTTTCAGGATAACTAAACATTTTCTAAACAATTTGTACTGCGAGATCACATTGACTTGTCCGCCCGCAGGATCGCTGGGTCCAACCCAGTAAGTTCTTTGTAAAGTTCTTCTTGGGCTGCAAGTACAGCCTGTTAACCACAGTATTTATCTTTGACGAAATTGAATGATCAAAAGATGAACAGTGCTGGAAAGAGTCTATCATGTTTATCATTCTCTTTGCTCCGCCACAATTCTGCTAGCAGCGGATTAACATTTCTCACCTCTGTTCGGTTTAACAACTCTGATTCTGACTGACTCTGATTAACTTAACTTTATAATTCGCTATCGGCAGGCATGAGTAAGCATGCAGGCCAACTGACCTTGGAAGATTAAACATTCATCGATCGTCAACAGAACCCTAACCTAGGCACTTTCACGAGGATCTCACGGATGAACGAAATATTATTTAATGCTTTCGATAAAACAATCAAATTTTGAGTGCAAAAGCCAAACCAAAAACGTAAATGTACACCTAGACAAGGTCAGCTGACGAACAGCACCTCCATTGATGGAAATTATTAATGGACGTTAGACAAGAACATTAAAGTTGAGAAACTCAACTTCATAGCTGAAACCCAATAAAACCTGACTTTGATTTAAAATCTTAACTTAATGCTTATTAAAAGTACAACTTAAAAA